AGACCTTTCATTTGAGTACCTACATCAATTTTTCATATATTTTTATATATTATATATATGTATATATGAAAATATATGAAAATTGCAAGTAGGTAGTCAAATGAAAGGTCTTGATGAGTGTAACATAAGAATGAGCTTATATCTTTAAAAATGTCAATAGTTTTCAAGGTACGAGGTCATTTCTTAATTACTGATATTTTTAAAGATATAAGCTCATCCCGATGTAACGTTTATCAAGAGCTTTTATTTGACTACCCACTTGCATTTTTGATATATTTTTCATATATACATATATATGATATACATAAATATATGAAATATATGAAAAATTGATGTGGGTACTCAAATGAAAGGTCTCGATGAGTGTAACATTAGGATGAGCTTATATCGTTAAAAATATCAATAATTGACAAGATAGAAGGTCATTTCTTAATTATGTAATATATATAATCCATATTTTGAAGATACAAGCTCATTCTGACGTTACACTCATCGAGATCTTTTATTTGAGTACCCACTTCAATTTTTTATATATTTTATATATTTATATATATTGTATATATGTATATATAAAAAATATATCAAAAATGCATGTGGGTACTCAAATGAAAGGTCTCGAGGAGTGTAACATCTTAATAAGCTTATATCTTAAAAAATGTCAATAGTTGACAATATAAAAGGTCATTTGTTAATGATATATCTATAGAGATAAAGAATTTTTCAAGTTATGATTTTATTATTATTATTCTAATTAAATTTTTTTTTCAGGTATAACCACAAGAAATTTATTAAAAAACAGCTTGCGCTTCCTAAAGATGTCTACCGAAGCATTTAAAACCCACGAAGTACTTCCGGATGTAATTAAAACTCTTCCTTCATCAATCCTACAAGTTACTTACGCTAACAATGTAAAAGTTGACCTGGGGAACGAACTGACTCCCACCAAAGTAAAGGACCCGCCGACTGTCCACTGGGACGCTGACTCTGGCTCATTTTACACCCTATGCATGACCGGTAAATAATCTAATCATTATTCCTATAGTCATAATTAAAAATACTAAAAAAAAAAAAAAAAAATTGCAGATCCCGACGCGCCAAGTCGCAAACAACCAACCTACCGCGAGTGGCACCACTGGTTAGTCGGGAACATTCCCGGGAACGATCTCTCAAAAGGGGAGGTTCTATCGGAGTACATCGGTTCCGGGCCGCCCGAAGGAACAGACCTCCACCGGTACGTGTTCCTGGTCTACAAGCAGCCCCAAAAGCTTACCTTCGACGAGCAGCGCCTGACGAACCGCAGTGGCAACAATCGCGCCAAATTTTCCATCAGTAAATTCGCGGAGAAGTACAACCTTGGCGCTCCGATCGCCGGGAACTTCTACCAGGCCGCTTACGATGACTATGTTCCAATTCTTTACAAACAATTGGGCGATTAATTTTTTTTTCCTGGAACAAAAATACTAAAATCAATATCAATAATAATTATTAAAATTTTATATTTATATTATAAATATAAACAAAATTTTTTATTGATATTAACATTTATATTTTTATTTTAAATATGGGGTAAATGCACCAATTATTGACCGATTAAGGTTTTCTTTTTCTGTACTAAGCTATAAAAAATCTATTAACCTACTAAAACCAATTTATAATGGATTTTATTAAAGTTAAATATTTAATTAATAACTATTTATAATAAAAATTAACAAAATTATATTAATTTTGTTATTTGAATCTTGAAATACTAAAATCACCAATTATTGACCGAAGAAACCCAATAAATGACCGACCGTTCTCCAATTAATTCACCGCTCAAATAATTATAAGTAATTTTGTAAACTACATGTATGTAATTAAATTTATGCAGTACTTTTAAAGTATTAACGACATCTTTAACAAAACTAAACATACAATATAATTTTAAATCGTACTTTTTTATAAAATAATATAAATAATAGGAAAAATTAACATAAAGTCACATTTCTTTAGGTCACAAATAATCACAAATTCATTTTAATGACGATAATTCTTCTGATTCACTTGAAATTTTTTTATTCTTCTCCTTCTTTTTTTTTCAATTAAAGCTTTTTTACTAGCTTGTAACTCTTTTTTATTTTTTTAATTGCTTAACAATTTTTTCTTTTAATAATTCGTTCTTTGATATAACCGTTCACTAAAAAAATTAGAACAAAATAAAATTTAATAATCAAAAAAGATTTTAAATATTATTTTAATTATAAATATACATTTTATAATGATTATTTTTATATTTTTAAAATATTGAATGACTAAAGTACTTTAAACACTTGACAGATTTAATTTTGGAGCTAAGAAGTTAGTATTATAATTATACGGTGATTAATTGGATTGTGATAAAATCAGAGGGTCTAATAAATGACCGAATAAATTTTTTACTGGGTAAAGGGCTTCTGACGGGTCCAATAGTTGACCGGTCTTAAAATAATATTAAAACATAATTTAACTTTATTTTTTCAAAAAAGTTGGAATCTGATCTTTAATTAACATAATAAAACTAAAATATTTTATATTATGCCGATAAATATCACTAAATTAATGATGAAATGCACTCACTCTCCAATAATTGTACGCTAGTTATTTTTGACCGCTTTATGGCTGGTTGCGTTGTAAACAAACTCACAATTTTTTTTTAAAGCTATAATCACTGCGCAATTAATTGCGTAATTTTTTATTATGATGATTGAATGCCATATTTTTTTATTTTAATACTTTAAGAAAAAAATACCCTTGTAAAATATTAATTAATTAACTTTTTTATACATCGGTCAACTAATTGGTGACTGGTCAACAACTGGTGCATTTACCCTAAATATTAAATGCAATAAAAGACAAATTTGATACAAACAAAAAAAATTTTTTTTTTTTTTCTTAATCTTGGGTAATTATTAGTAATTAAATTAATTACCTGTTATTATTTTGAAAGCGGTATCGATTAAATTCCAGTGTTTTGTTAAGTCATTTGTTGTTTCCTTTTGATGCTAACGATACGTGATACAATCAATGATACGTTCAGGTCATGTTATTTTATTTAACAAGAGTCTTGTTAAAAAGAAGCTATTTGCGCTGCGAGTATGATCAAATTATTAGCAAGTAAGTTTTTTTTTATTGTTTTTTTTTTTGAAAAAAAAAATTTTTTTAATTTTTAAGTTTATGGGCCTGGATAATTTTTCAAATTGGATTTATTTTTTACTGAATCAACGCTAAAAAATCAATGTAATTGTTGTAATGACTTATTTGGTAACAATATTGTAGTAATATTTTAATTTAAAAATGATTTTGTATTATAATTAATATTTATAAGTCTGGGCCCATAACCTGTTGGTATTTTAATATTTTTTGATCTAATAAAATTCGTAAAATTAGTCGCTATTGGAGTAATTGGAGTTGTAACTGGGGATGTAAATTCCGCGTTCCGGGATGCAGAGATAGTTCCAGATCTTTTGGATACTCCACCAGCAGATAAGCTAGAAGTAAGTAGTGATAAAAAAAAAAAAAAAAAGGACATTTCATGGTGTAATTTTCCAGGTTATTTATGGAGAAAAAAAAGTTATTTTGGGTGAAAAATTAACGCCGACTGAGGCTAAAGATCCTCCGGAAATTCACTACAAACATGAACAAGGAACATTTTATACGCTAATTATGGCCGGTAATTATTAATAATTAAATAACAACCTTGCAGTCACTATGTGACTTGTCAACTATAAATAACGAACATTTTGCTTTATTAAATTATGAATATTGTTAAATTGCACTCTACTTTCTTAAATATTGACGTTTTTTAAGATATAAGCTCATCCCGATGTTACACTCGTCAAGAGCTTTCATTTAAGTACCCACATGCATTTTTGATATATATTTCATTTATACATATATATAATATATATTTTAAAAATATCAGCTCATCCTGATGTTACACTCATCAAGAGCTTTCATTTGAGTACCCACATACATTTTTATATATTTTTCATATATACATATATATA